CAGCCTCTGCTGCCCCCTACAGGCCGACACCTGGGCTGCTCTCAGCGGTTTGACGGCGCGGGCCGAGAGTTTGCTCACGCGTGGTTCCTCGGAGACATTCACTTCGACGATGATGAACATTTCACTGTCCCAAACACGGGCAACGGGATCAGTCTTCTGAAGGTAATGTGAGACCATGCACTGAACCACAGAAGCTCAGAGAAACCAGACTAGGTTCACTTACTTACAGATAAAGTCACTCTCATCTTTTCTTCCCTATTGTGCCGTATATCAGAGTAAAGCGCTTCTGGATCATGAACAAATGTAGAGTGGGTGCTGGTTTTTAGGGTGGGGCACAATGCATTATTTTGCATTGGGCATTTGCATATTTCGCATTTGTATTTTGCATTATTTTGCATTGTGCATTTGCATGTTTTGCATTTATTTGCATTTGTATTTTGCATTAATTTGCCTATTTTGCTTTAATTTGCATTTCTCATTTGTATTTTGCAGTTTGCATATTTTTCATTTGTATTTTGTAGGGCGGTATTTTGTATTTTGTTGATTTTGTCCTTGGGGAATTGATTGGATGGTTGTGGTTTGCTATTGGCGGATCTCGTGTGAGTGACAGGTTATAGCCCCGCCCTCGTCATCAGAGAATAGAAGAGATACTGCAAAAGAGACATTTTTGATGTTTGAAGATTAGGATATCCTACCTCCAGTGTAAAAAAAAACCTGATTTAATAAAACAACTGCTCACTGATGCATTAAATTGAATACAATACAAATCTCTGCCACTTTCACTTGTGCGTCTGAGTCTCTGACTGCGATGTTTCGTTCAGGTAGCGGTTCATGAGATCGGGCATGTTTTAGGGCTTCCTCACATCTACCGGCCCGGATCCATCATGCAGCCCAGTTACCTTCCCCAGGACGGCGGCTTCGAGCTCGACTGGATGGACAGAAAGTCTATTCAGAGCCTGTACGGTGAGACCCACCTGAGATCATTTTTATTCAAATATAAAAAAGATTTGTTTTCTTCAAGCATAAATTGAAGTATAATTTTGAATCAATCTCATTGTTTTCTGGCTCAGGTGTGTGTACGGGTGGCTTCAGTACCGTGTTTGATTGGATCAGGAAGGAGCAGACGCCCTACGGTGAGGTCGTGGTGCGTTTTAACACATACTTCATGCGGGGCGGCCTGTACTGGCTGTATGAGAACCGTAAGAACAGAACGCGCTTCGGGGATCCGGTGGCGGTGCAGGTGGGGTGGCACGGGCTGCCCTCCGGTGGCGTGGACGCTTACATTCACGTGTGGAACCGCAAAACAGACGCGGTCTACTTCTTTAAAGGTGTTTATTTACTTCATAAGAGTTCCAAAAACATCATCTAATCAAGACGCATAGTACATAGAGATTAAAGCTTGAGATCATTTGCATCTCCTGTCCCTGAAAAGAAAGTTTCGTGTGTGAGCAGTAAACTGTGGACTTTTGTGACTATATTGTGCATTTGCGTATTTTGCATTTAGATTTTTTTTTTTGCATTGTGCAGTTGCCTAATTTCCATTTGCATTATGTATTTGCATACATTTGTATTTTGCTGTTTGCATATTTTATCGCCCGTTGTATGAAGTTTCCTGCAGTACGATGTGTCCGTGTACTGCACAGGTATTAGCATGGGTGTCTTGTTGTCGCAGGTGTGCAGTACTGGCGTTATGACAGTGAGAATGATCAGGTGTTCACGGAGGACTCTGACGGACACTCGTATCCTCGCCTGATCTCTGAAGGCTTTCCCGGTGTGTCTGGACCACTGGACACTGCATACTACGACAGGAGAGACGCTCATATCTACTTTTTTAAAGGCTCACAGGTAACAGCTGCTCGTGTTTTACAATTACATGCTGCTTTTTGACAGTGCAAGACGAAGAGGTTGCTTGGTCAGAAAGTTTATAACCGATAGAAGTAGCTAGATTATGTGCCACAATACTGTATATCACAATACAAAAATGCAATAATATGTATTGTGGATAGTGATTATATATATATAGTATATAGTTCGTCCAAATATTAGAGAGTGCGGTGAGTCGAGTGCGGTGAATCGAGTGAGTCTAGTGCGGTGAGTTGAGTGAGTCGAATGTGGTGAGTCGAGTGAGTCGAGTGCGGTGAGTCAAGTGAGTCGAGTGTGGTGAGTTGATTGAGTCGAGTGCAGTGAGTCAAGTGAGGTGAGTCAAATGAGTCGAGTGCGGTGAGTCGAGTGCGGTGATCCAAGTGAGCCGAGTGCAGTGAGTCGAGTGTGGTAAGTCGAGTGAGTCGAGTGCAGTTAGTCGAGTGCTGTGAGTCGAGTGTGGTGAGTTGAGTGAGTCGAGTGCGGTGAGTCAAATGAGTCGAGTGCGGTGAGTCAAATGAGCCGAGTGCGGTGAGTCGAGTGTGGTGAGTCGAGTGAGTCGAGTGCGGTGAGTCGAGTGCGGTAAGTCGAGTGAGTCGAGTGCAGTCAGTCGAGTGTGGTGAGTTGAGTGAGTCGAGTGCGGTGAGTCGAGTGCGGTGAGTCAAATGAGTCGAGTGCGGTGAGTCGAGTGTGGTGAGTCGAGTGCGGTGAGTCGAGTGCGGTGAGTCGAGTGCGGTGAGTCGAGTGCGGTGAGTCGAGTGCTGTGAGTCGAGTGCGGTAAGTCGAGTGCGGTGAGTCGAGTGCGGTAAGTCAAGTGAGTCGAGTGCAGTAAGTCGAGTGAGTCGAGTGCAGTCAGTCGAGTGCGGTGAGTCGAGTGTGGTGAGTTGAGTGAGTCGAGTGTGGTGAGTCGAGTGAGTCGAGTGCGGTGAGTCAAATGAGCCGAGTGCGGTGAGTCAAGTGCAGTGAGTCGAATGAGTCGAGTGCGGTGAGTCGAGTGCGGTAAGTCGAGTGAGTTGAGTGCGGTGAATCGAGTGCCGTGAGTCGAGTGCCATGAGTCAAGTGTGGTGAGTCGAGTGAGTCGAGTGCAGTGAATCAAGTGCGGTGAGTCGAGTGCGGTGAGTCGAGTGCGGTGAGTTGAATGAGTCGAGTGCGGTGAATCGAGTGCGGTGAGTCGAATGAGTCGAGTGCGGTGAATCGAGTGCGGTGAGTCGAATGAGTCGAGTGCGGTGAGTCGAATGTGGTGAGTTGAATGAGTCGAGTGCGGTGAATCGAGTGCGGTGAGTCGAATGAGTCGAGTGCGGTGAGTCGAATGTGGTGAGTCGAATGAGTCGAGTGCGGTGAGTCGAGTGCGGTAAGTCGAGTGAGTTGAGTGCGGTGAATCGAGTGCCGTGAGTCGAGTGCCATGAGTCAAGTGTGGTGAGTCGAGTGAGTCGAGTGCAGTGAATCAAGTGCGGTGAGTCGAGTGCGGTGAGTCGAGTGCGGTGAGTTGAATGAGTCGAGTGCGGTGAATCGAGTGCGGTGAGTTGAATGAGTCGAGTGCGGTGAATCGAGTGCGGTGAGTCGAATGAGTCGAGTGCGGTGAGTCGAATGTGGTGAGTTGAATGAGTCGAGTGCGGTGAATCGAGTGCGGTGAGTCGAATGAGTCGAGTGCGGTGAGTCGAATGTGGTGAGTCGAGTGTGGTGAGTTGAGTGAGTCGAGTGCGGTGAGTTGAGTGCGGTGAGTCGAGTGCGGTGAGTCGAGTGAATCGAGTGCGGTGAGTTGAGTGAGTTGAGTGAGTCGAGTGCGGTGAGTCGAGTGCAGTGAGTCGAATGAGTCGAGTGCGGTGAGTCGAATGTGGTGAGTCGAGTGTGGTGAGTTGAGTGAGTCGAGTGTGGTGAGTCGAGTGCAGTGAGTCGAGTGCGGTGAGTTGAGTGAGTCGAGTGCGGTGAGTTGAGTGCGGTGAGTCGAGTGCGGTGAGTCGAGTGAATCGAGTGCGGTGAGTTGAGTGAGTCGAGTGCGGTGAGTCGAGTGCGGTGAGTCAAATGAGCCGAGTGCGGTGAGTCGAGTGTGGTGAGTCGAGTGCGGTGAGTCAAGTGCGGTGAGTCGAGTGCGGTGAGTCGAGTGCGGTAAGTCGAGTGAGTCGAGTGCAGTGAGTCGAGTGCGGTGAGTCAAATGAGCCGAGTGCGGTGAGTCAAGTGCAGTGAGTCGAATGAGTCGAGTGCGGTGAGTCGAGTGCGGTAAGTCGAGTGAGTTGAGTGCGGTGAATCGAGTGCCGTGAGTCGAGTGCCATGAGTCAAGTGTGGTGAGTCGAGTGAGTCGAGTGCAGTGAATCAAGTGCGGTGAGTCGAGTGCGGTGAGTTGAATGAGTCGAGTGCGGTGAGTCGAGTGCGGTGAGTTGAATGAGTCGAGTGCGGTGAATCGAGTGCGGTGAGTCGAATGAGTCGAGTGCGGTGAATCGAGTGCGGTGAGTCGAATGAGTCGAGTGCGGTGAGTCGAATGTGGTGAGTTGAATGAGTCGAGTGCGGTGAATCGAGTGCGGTGAGTCGAATGAGTCGAGTGCGGTGAGTCGAATGTGGTGAGTCGAGTGTGGTGAGTTGAGTGAGTCGAGTGTGGTGAGTCGAGTGCAGTGAGTCGAGTGCGGTGAGTTGAGTGCGGTGAGTCGAGTGCCGTGAGTTGAGTGAGTCGAGTGTGGTGAGTCGAGTGAGTCGAGTGCAGTGAGTCGAGTGCAGTGAGTCGAGTGGTAATAATTGTAGTAATTGCTCAATATGGATGTCCAGGTGTTCAGGTTCGACGTGCGCAGGAACCGCTTGGCCTCCTCTTCTCCACGACTCCTCTCTGAGGTTTTTCCTGCTTTTGTTCCCGGGAATCACCCGATCGGTCACCTGGACGCTGCGTACTTCTCCTACACACACAACAGTGTGTTCCTGCTGAAGGGCTCGGGGTTCTGGCGAGTGTCGAGCAGACGAAGAGCTTCTCTCTCGACGAGTGTCCTGTTGCCCCGCAGAGAGCTGGACCAGCAGTGGTTCGACATCTGTGACGTGCACCACAGCTCTCTGAGGACCGCTCGCAGGTGACGCACACACACACACACACACACACACACTCATCTGTATACTATCTGTGACGTGTATGTATTTATTTATTTATTTTAATGTGACATTTTTATGACTTGCCTCATCTGCATCATTAATGGCAGAACTGCATGTTTTTGCAGCATTTTTGAATATGAACAAAATATGCAAATGATATTTAAGAGCTGTTGTGTGAGAACATTTTCAGCTTATAACTAATTACTGGACACTGGAATATACAGTTCATATACTAATTATATATTTTTATGTTACCATATTGCCTTAGTGTTGTTATAAAGTTGAGCACAAAATCACTGAAATAATTCAGATATTCTTTGTGTATGTCAATCAACATGTACGACTTGACAAAAACATGTATTTATTTACACTGTTTGCTGGAGTATGATTCACTCTTTAACTTATTTATTATTTGTTTATGAACGTGTTGTTTTAGAATAAACGTGTGGATGTCTTCCCTTGTGTCGTTTCAGACTAAACCTTGACATTTAGAATTGTATGTAAGAATTTAGTATAAATTACATTAAATAAAACATAAATTAACATATAAAGCTTTTTCTAAAAAATATTAATTAGAAAATTATAATTAGCTTCATATAGAGGCAGATAATTGAATAGAAGACATAATTAAATAAAAGTCTCCTTTGGTCCAGTGGTCTTCTAGGGGTTAATAACTATTGGATATTGATCTTAAAATAAGAGTAAAATTCTGTAAAGTTTTCATTACTGGAATGATAAATTACAACTATATTAGTGTGCAAATGTCTTCAATTAATTAACAGTAAGTGTTCATATATTACACACACACACACACACACACACTGGAAATGATTCTGTTTTGTGAAAGCTTTCATTAGCTTGTTCTCCAGTGATAACTTATGAATATTTCCATCAGAGAAGTAATTTCTTGTCAACATGTTACACACACACACACACACACACACACACATCAGAACTAATAAGCATTCATGCAGTGGATCGGAGCACAAACCTTTTAATATGATGATGATGATGATGATGATGATATTCCAGAATATTGCATGAAACCCGTAACTGCATGTCTAAATATTCATATCAAATCAGATTTGAGTGTAAGTATGATCAGGATGACATCATCACATCACCGCTCTAGACGACCGCAGCAAATGAAGCCGCTCTAACGGTCACTTAATGAGATGCAAACGAGTGTTTCGATGTTTGACTAAATTATCCATAATAGTTTTTGAGGAAATTGTTTCCATGTTCTGCTCATTACCTTTGAACTCAACAGTGTGTGTGTCTGTGTGTGTGTGTGTGTGTTCAGCAGTGTGTGTGTGTGTGTGTGTGTGTGTCTGATTGAATGCAACATGTATTTCACAGAATCCTTAAAATGTAATTGGTAAAACTCTCTATTCTCTAGTATAATAGAATTAAATATGTGACACAAATGATGTAGATCCCTGTTCTGTAGAAACTGCACTGGACACACACACACACACACACACACACTGAGACTCGGCAGAAGTGTTACAACACAGCCGTGTTTCAGCAGTTTGGAGAGATTTGTGTGTGTGTGTGTGTGTGTGTGTGTGTGTGTGTGTGTGTGTGTTTCTGCTCCGTCAAGCGTGATGTGAATGTCTCATAAAAACCGGCGACACACACCGGAGAGAGTGATTACGGGCCGAGTCCGCTTTCCCCGAATGTGTGTGTGCGTGTGTGTGTGTGTGTGTGTGATTCCACGCGGAGATAATGATGTCATTACACCCTGATGTTCTGGTCCTTCATTATTTCATAGACTCACATGACCCTGTTATCTGTCCCGCACAGGCTGGCCGAACAACACACACACACACACACACACACACAGAGAGAGCCATAGGCCTGAAGACACAAACTCACACACTATCAAAAACACACACACGTATCATTCATTATCATTCATTCAAAACAGTTTACAGATCTAAACGCAGATGAGGCGCGCGCGTTCACACCGTCACTGAACACGTGATTCGCTGCTGTCAGAGACACTCATTTGCATATTAATAAGAAGGAAGTGGAGAGGGACTCACTACTGATCAAATCCCACAGGTCGGCCCCGCAGGACACACACATTAGAGTGTAACCACACAATTATCAGTGTTTGCGGATTGCGCTAATGAGACGAGGCTGTTAACATCTGTTGTGTTGCAAAAACACACTCGTCACGTGACCTCGTGTAACATGCTGACATCACCGGATTAATCATCGTGTTTACAACAGTAATTCCACATAAATTAACACTCGGTCATCATTTAGGCCTATCTGATAAATAGATCATTTGCATAGTGTAACGCAAGCTAAAAATACACTATTGCTCGTTCTCTGAAGCTATAATGTTATATTCTTCACTAATAATAGCTATTCCCTTCCTCTGCAGCTCTGAAATCTCATTCAACATCATATTGACTCCAGATCTGAAGTTTGAAATGAGGTTTGACATTCAAACCCATAAAAAAAATAAATGAATACTTTTATTTAGAAGGGATGCATTGAATTAACTAAAACATTCAAATAAATGCTGTTCTTTTGAACATTTTTAATTCATCAAGGAGTCTTGAAAAAAAATGGATACATTTGAATAAATTAATTAAAAAAAATTATATTCTATGACTTTCCACAAAAAATATGAAGCAGCAAGTCAATTCACTTTTAATAATTATTTATTTATACTTTTTACAATACAAATAGTTTCATCTGTACTAAAATGTCACTAAAATAACAAGTGTTATTTTTAGTATCATTGATATACTATTATTATTTTTACATTTAAAAAAATTAAATTAAATTTTAATTAAATTATTTTTGAATTTTTTTAAAATTAATATTTCGAATTTTGTATTTTTTGTAAAGTTATGTAATATTAGTTTTTTATGTCTTAAAATATGTCTATTTTAATTTTCCATTTTAATGTCTGTTTTTTATTAAGTTTTAGAGTTTTTAGTTTTAGTTACTTTAGTACTTCAAAATCAATGAAAATGAGAAAATTTGACTTAAATATAGTAATTTCTAAATAGAAATTTAATAATTTTTTTAATATTTTATTTTATATCAGTTAATGTGTCATTTTATTTCAAGTAATGCACATGTTTTATGGGATTTTATAGTTTTAGTTAAGGACAGTAACCCTGAACTGTTGTTCTGGTCAGAAAGGTCATATTTCCTCATATTTCTTTGCTCAGAGACATGAAGAGCCAGTCTTCAGCTCACTGGCGTGTCATTAGCCTGTAAATTACAAACATAATAATCAGGAATGATTCTCCTGAGGGCCGTCAGTCAGTCTGCATGATCATCATATGCATCATATCTTTATGTTGTTGGTAATTATTCTCATTCTCATTGATTTATAAAGATGAAGCCACATTCTCTGCCTAAATGTATTCAGTGTGATTTTTTAACCAAGACACTATTTGTTAATCTTGATCAAACCCCTCCCCTTCCTCATTAATATGCAAATAAGCAGCTCAGTGAATGGATGCGTGTGGGCGGAGTTTAATAATGCAGCCATGATTGAAAAATGATTGATTGGGAATTCTTCTGTGAGAGAGATAAGCAAACACTCTCCAATATGAAACAAATCATAGAAATAAAACACACACACCCACACACGCACTCTCTCTCTCTCTCACACACACACACACACACACACACACACACACACACACACAGACTTGAGGTTTTCCAGCACAAATATCGAAACATTCTTCAAGATCCAAGAGAAGCAACAGGACTGAAGATCTCGCGATAGTTTAATCAGAGACTGATCGAAGTCAGACAAAAATCTGTTTCCTTTGAATTCAGTTAATTTTTCTTACCCCGCTGGCAGATATTTGTTCTTAATTTAAACATAAACTCACTTCATTTTCATGCATTTATCAGAAAAGAAGATCTTGCCATTTTGCAAAAAAAAAAAAGAGGATAAACGTCACTTTATTCTGAAGTCCAGTAAAGAGATTAAATCCCAAACCTCAGTGAGATGGAAAACATCAGTATTTGAGTTTTGGTGACGGTCAGTGAATATGAAAATATGAAGATTAATCTTCCCTAACGATCACGAGTGTGTGTTGAGCTGCAGTGATTCTCGTCGATTATATGAGATACATATTTCAGACGCCTAGAGGAATACAGATACGGATTAATCTGACGGCTGTCGTCATTAAAAATGTACATGACAGAAGACATCTGTGAATAATTCATGTCAACTGTACTTGAGCTTCTGATACACACTCATCTGACACACTTACAGTTATGGAGAATCAAATCTGCTTTACACAAATCACAAACAACACCAGAGAACTCTTACAGTGATGGCATCATCTCATGTTTGAACTGTAGTGATTTTAGAAAGGGTTTCATATCAAACATATTCATAGAAGTTTGTGAGAGAGAGAGAGAGAGAGAGAGAGAGAGAGAGAGAGAGAGATAGAGCGCGCGCGCGTCTTTAAATGTGTGAGAGCGTGTGTGTGAGAGCGTGTGTGTGTGTGTGTGTGTGTGTCATGGGTTGGGCGACTAGAGACCCCGCCTTAATGAATAATAGTGTGTGTGTGTGTGTGTGTGTGTGTGTGTGTGTGTGTGCGTGCGTGGTGAAAGCGAGAGTGAGGAAGAGCGGAACACAAACACTCGCGAGCTTCCTCCCCTCTGTGGCGCGCGCACATACACGCGCTCGGTCCGGTTACCGGAGCCGGTTCGGTTTGGATTTTTCGCCCGATGATGATGAAGAAGACGAAGTTTTTCGGTTCTGTGTGAAGGTGTGTGAGTAGGACGATCTCCTGGAGGAAGAAGAGCTCATGAACTCACCGCTGACTGACTGACAGCAGACATTAACGGTAAGACCAGAACCGGCTGACGGAACGGGTCTCAACGGACTTCCGTGCTTCCGGTCAAACGAGTCGCATTCAACGTGTGTTTATTTATTTATTAAGAAGACGATAGGCTATATATATATGTGTGTGTGTGTATAAATGAGAGAGAGAGAGGGAAAAGGAGATTTGATCATTTTAATGTGCATTCGGATATAAATTGTAGCTTTTTCAGTTGCGCCTCTATTAAACAAGGAATGGGGTGTTTGGTTAACTGAATAGACCTATTTTATTTATTTATTTATTTTTAATTTTCTATTTTTTTTGCTAGTGTCACTAACAAAAAGTAGCCTACCATGGTAATACCATAGTTATTTTGTTAAATTAGTTTGGTAATGTAGCCTATAGGATCGTTTAGTATGGCATCAAATTATCATGGCATTTGTGTGAAGGCTAATTATGGTAATTATAAGTAGCCTATATTGCATAATTTCGATTCATATGTTCAGTGTTTGTCTTGTGGAATCATATTGTGAACATCAACAATCTGCAGTGTGATGATGATGATGATGATGATGATGTGAATATTTAGAAAATGAATGATCTCTGATCTCTGTTTATTAAGATGTT